GGGGAGGGGCGCGGCCGGGCGGGAGGAGAGGCGATGCCGGGCTCCGTTCCGGCCCCTCAGGGCTCCGCGGCGGCGCCCTGCCGGGGAGCGGGGCATCCCCCCGCCGGCGCCACCTGCTCCGGGGTGGCCCTGGCCTGACGGGGCGCTGCCCCGGGCTCGGTCCCGCCGCAGGATCCAGCCGGTGCCGAGGGGACCCGCCGTCGGCCATGGGGGGGAACGACGTGGTCAGGGAGGAGCTGGGCAGCCTCCACGGCATCCCCCTCTACAAGAGCTTCGTCGAGGGCTGGCCACAGGTGGAGGCTTTCCAAGCCCGGCTGGATGACCTGCTCATCGCCACCTACCCCAAATCGGGTGAGTGGTCCTGGGGAGGGGCGCAGGGGGGACGGGGGGACGCCAGCCCTTGCGACGCTGTCCCTGTGCTGCAGGCACGACGTGGCTGAGCGAGATCCTGGACATGATCTACCACGACGGCGATGTGGAGAAGTGCCGCCGGGATGCCATCTTCAACCGGGTGCCCTTCCTGGAAATGAAGGCCCCCGAGCTGCCGAGCGGTGAGCCCCCCAGCCCGGCTGTCCCTCTGGCTTGAGTGGGGAGGGGGCTGAGTTGGGGCGGGGGGGAGGGTGCTGGGGCTCCCACTGCTAACCCCCCCGTCCCACAGGGGTCGACCTGCTGGACAAAACCCCGTCCCCGCGGCTGGTGAAGACCCATCTCCCGGTCCAGCTCCTCCCGACCTCCTTCTGGGACAAGGGCTGCAAGGTAACGCTGCGGGTGCCCCCCGTCTGGGTGGCAGGGAGGTGGCACCGCTCTGCACCCCCCAACCACATCCTCGGCTCTCCCCAGGTCATCTACATGGCCCGCAACCCCAAGGATGTCGTCGTCTCCTACTACTACTTCTACCAGATGGCCAAGATGCATCCCGACCCCGGCACGCTGGGCGAGTTCCTGGAGACCTTCATGGCTGGCAAAGGTGGGGGCTGAGCCCCAGGGTGCCCACCCCAAAACGCCAGCGGGGAGGGAGTCCCCCACCACCCCACTTTTCAGCTAACCCCTTGATCGCATCCCACAGCGGCCTACGGGTCCTGGTATGAGCATGTGCGGGGCTGGTGGGAGAAGAAGCAGGAGAAGCAGCTCCTCTATCTCTTCTATGAGGACATGAAGAAGGTGAGGGTGGAATGGAGGGGAGGGTGCCCCTGTTGCCCCCCCCCCAGCCCTTTTGGCAGCCTCCCCATGTCAGCCACCCCACAGGACCCGCGGCGGGAGGTGCAGAAGATCCTGCAGTTCCTGGGCAAGAAGGTGTCGGAGGAGACGGTGGAGAGGATCCTCCACCACACCTCCTTCCAGGAGATGAAGAAGAACCCTGCCGCCAACTACGAGACCATGCCCACCAACCTGATGGACCACAGCCTCTCCCCCTTCCTCCGGAAAGGTGGGGTTTGGCCAGCGGCGGAGGGCTTGGGAGGGGTGTCCCCCGGCTCTATTGCAGCCCCCATCCATGGCTGCAAATATTTCAGGGGTGTCAGGATTTGCCCCACTCACTGTCTTGCCCCCAGGGATCTCCGGGGACTGGAAGAACCACTTCACTGTGGCCCAGAATGAGCGCTTCGACCAGCACTACCGGCAGCACATGGCGGGCTCTGACCTCCACTTCCAGATGGAGGTGTGAGGGGCTCGTCCCCCTTCCCAGGGGGCTCTGCTTCTCCCTGCCCCCCTGGTGGGGAGGGTGGTTCCGGCTGGAGCATCCCCGTGACAATTCGCTATTCCCCCTGTAATAAATTGGGATAACTGGAGGGCGAGCCATTTCCTGTGGGGAAAGGTGGGGGGGCTGAACCCCCCGAATCCCAGGCAGCAGCCGGGGGCACCCCCATGCTTAGCGGAAGGGAGGGTGGGCGCGTGTGGTGGATTTTTAGCCAGCGGTGGTCAGCCAGCACCAGGGGTGGGCATCCTCCCAAAACCCACCGCTGGCCACCCCAGCCCCACCCTACCAAGGCGTCCGGAGGGAGCAAAGATTGGCAATGAGTGGAAAAACCCCAAAGCACTGGCAAAACCGCTGACCCCACAGCTCTTGCGTGAGCAGGAGCTTTCATGCCTCGAGGTTGTGGCAAGTTTCTTGACAGAGCAGGCGGTGGCGGGGCTCGCCCCAGGCTCCCTGGCCCAGCTGGAGCTCGTCAGCCCAAGCTTTGTGGAGCAAAGGTGAAGGGAAACACCTCCCTGCCAGCGTATTGCCGCGCTCGGCAGCATCGCTGTCCTTGCTGGATAAGGAACCCACCCTGCAACCTCCGGCCCGGCCGCACTGAGCCCTTGCTGGGGATGGCTGGAGCAAACCAGTCCCCATCCCACTGGGAGCAAGGGTTTGCTCTGGAGCCCCGGATTCCCCAGCTTCCAGCCTGTTCTTAAGTTTTGTGCTGGTTTTGGCTGGGATAGAGTTAATTTTCTTCGTAGTAGCTATTATCGGGCTAGGTTTTGGATTTGTGCTGGAAACAGTGTTGATAACACAGGGATGTTTTCGTTATTGCTGAGCAGGGCTCACACAGAGTCAAGGCCTTTTCTGCTTCTCACCCCACCCCACCAGTGAGCGGGCTGGGGGGGCGCAAGAAGCTGGGAGGGAGCACAGCCAGGACAGCTGACCCCAACTGACCAAAGGGCTATGCCATACCATGTGACGTCATGCTCAGCATATAAAGCTGGGGGAAGAAGAAGGAGGGGGGGGACGTTCAGTTAGGGCTAAACCACGAGAGGTTTCCAAGATTGCACCTTTTTGGCAAGGCAGCCTCGTGGGGTTGTTTCATTCCCAAAGAGATGCAACCCAGATCCGACTCCTGAAGAGCAGCAGCGCGATGAGGGGAGCTCTCCCACAGGAATAAATCCTTTCCGCGCATTTATTTAAAAGCCGACGGAGATCTCCGTGCTCCCCCCGCTCCTGGCTTTGCCTGCGGGGTTGCACACGCAGCCGATTGCGCTGGCGTACGGACAGAGGGACGGGCGGGGGCACGGCCCTGCCTGCAGGACACCCCGAGGCCCGACACGCGTGTCCTGCCTCGGCGGGAGCGCGGCCCTGGGGACAGGGCACGGACGCCTTCCCCGCGGTTGCCGACAGGCAGGCGGCTCCCCCCGCCCGGCTGCCCTCCCTCCGGCCTCCCCGCTCCCTCCC